CAGTGTCTTAATCTTGTATTTTCATCGTACCTAGCTGCTTTTGCTGGCTTTACTTCTGATTCACATGATTTATGGAATTTCTTGACCAGTTCTTATATCAAGTATTATTCAAAATTTTTTCGATTAGTTCCTTTCAATTCGTAGAGAATTCGATGAAACTGAATTGCTTTTGAATTTCTAGCAATACTTACTTTTGTAGTTTGATTCGAAACAAACTAGCCATTTTATTAGTTGTGTGCTTACAGCACGTTTTCGATGGCTTCAACATCAGTTCCCGAGAACTACTATGTGGTTCCGATAGGGGAGACTCAGATGGTTGTGCTGAAACGATATGAAAACTTACGGCTTATTGGCTCAGGTGCTCAAGGGATTGTTTGGTATGTTTCTGACTTTCCGTGCTTTTGCATCGTCTAACATATCACTTATCCATATTTAGTGCTGCTACCGATACGGTAACTAATAAGCCGGTGGCTATAAAGAAGTTATCCCGTCCTTTCCAAAATGTCACGCATGCGAAACGAGCATATAGAGAATTTATTCTTATGAATCTTGTCAATCACAAAAATGTAAGTTTTTACTTGTGATGTTTGATGTCACTCCCTATTCAATATTCTGCAGATTATTGGATTGTTAAATGCGTTCTCTCCCCAAAGAGAAGTTGAAGAATTTAATGACTTATATATTGTTATGGAACTGATGGATGCTAATTTGTGCCAGGTTGGTTCCTCTTTCTTATGTAATTTATTGATTTTCGTACAAAGGTGTTTGTGTTTTTGTGAGAACAGTGAGGAGATTATCATTTTGAAATCTTGTTCTGAAGTTTTCGTATTAGTAGTTTTACGTTTAAGCCATTCTAGCCTTTTTCACCTTTTGTTCAAAGCAAGAAATCGCATGCTTATGTCATTTTTGCAACTTATGTTTTCCAGGTCATACAAATGGATCTGGATCATGAACGGTTATCATATCTGTTGTACCAGATGTTGTGCGGAATCAAACACCTGCACAGTGCTGGAATAATCCATAGGGTTTGTTCTTTTTGTTTGTATTGTTTTTCCTCTCGACTGGTGTCTCCTTGCGTGAAAGTTTTCGACTTTTTTACTCAGACAATTCAGCGGAACTTCCGCAGGACAAG